TTTTTTTATTACCAGATTAATCAAACAGATCTTCAGACTTAGAGCAACAGAAGAATAATGCTAGATATTATATTTACAAGTAAAAAGTGAAGAGCTGGAAAATTGTAATTCAAATGATTATAACTCCGTAATAAAAAATATAACAATTCAGTTGATCAAATTTCAACTTAGTCAATTGTTAGTTTACTTTTTTGAATGATATTTTGACATTATGTAACAAACGGAAAAACGAGGTTGTTTCATTGAAATTGTTAAAAACTTTCTTCATAAGTTAAAGATTGAAAGATCATTGTAAAGAGGATTTTTTAATGTTTTCACGAGCGTTTGAATTTTGACAAACTTTCGAGAAAGAAGTATCTTTATTTTTCCAACACCGTTGCATCATGTAAAATCATTTCTGAGAAATAGAAACCTTACGCTATAAAATGAAACCGAGTAGATTGTTCCATTACGAAGTTATAACAATTTAAATTGTCAAAAATTTGTCATCGTTATTGGTTCAATTATGTTTCTTACTATACATTTATCGCATGTAGGTATCGTTGAATTCATTCCTTTACTATTGAGAAATATAATTATAATATTACAATCTATAATCTATGATCTCGAAATACTATTATCTATGTTTGTTTGCTCGTTAGTTATACGCGTTCTCTCCCGTGCATACATGTATGTATATGTTATCTTTTATGAATCGAAGGGTTTATTCAGCGAATAAATAAATAAATAAAGCAAAGAAACCTGAAGAAGCCTCTGGATTCGTGGGATTCTAGTAGAGCCACCGACGAGGACGATGTCGTGAATCTGTGATTTGTCCATCTTGGCGTCGCGCAAGGCTTCCTCGACCGGCTGTAACGTACTGTTGAAGAGATCTTGGTTGAGCTCCTCGAAACGGGCGCGCGTGATAGACGTGTAAAAGTCGATGCCATCGAGCAGGGAATCGATTTCGATGTTGGCCTGAGTCGACGAAGACAGGGTTCTCTTGGCACGCTCGCACGCTGTTCTCAATCGACGGATCGCCCGTTTGTTCGTCGTCAGGTCCTTCTTGAACTTCCTCGAGAACTCTTGCGCGAAGTGTATCACCATGCGACTGTCGAAGTCTTCGCCACCAAGATGAGTGTCACCGGCTGTCGCTTTTACCTAAATCGCATTATACACGCGCGTGTTACATCGCGACACAGGCCCGTCATACTCTGCTGGAAAACGTAATTTGAACGTGACTTGTCGTTGGAAACTCGAAGCTGTCGTAACTTTGCAAATTGGCCTCGATATTTCTAGAAATTCCAATTATAACGCGATACTTCGTAACCTAGATACTGTTACTGTCAAAGTAGTCGTGACCTTATATGATCGCTTTTTCGTAGCATTTTCTTCGAGCTTGCGCGGCTAGAACCAGAGCGAGTTAAAAATCGCGTTAGCTCGAAGAAACTCGCGTTCCCACGAGAATGTCAAGAGTCTATTTTAACTCTCGACGCGTTCGCGGTATCGCAGTGTTCAAGCGCACGAGAATTCAAACAATTCAACGCCAAACGTCACGCGTTGAGATATTTACATGAATATTTACGTGAATAGAGAAAATTTTGATTTCCTCGCAATCACCGACAACTAATCAACAAATCACTAGAATCCGACTAACCTGACGGAGGATAAAATCGGAAACATCGCGCTGCGGTAAAATTGCAAATGCTGCGGACTTGGTTGCCGGTAATTATACATTCTACGCAAGATCCGCGGGAAATCGACGAAGGTATTAAAACGGCGGTTTTACTTAAAAACTTTCCACGGGGCTGGTTGCACGTGGAGAAGCATGGCGGTGTTCCGAGAGAGATAGAGTCGAGATTCGATGAGAGTCGAAGAAGAAAGGAAGCTGCTTGCGGTTCGCGAGCCGCGCGTAGACAGTGAGACGGGGAGGCTCACTTCGAATATGCCGTCGTTGATAGTGAGTATCGATACGTCGAAAGTGCCGCCGCCGAGATCGAAGATCAGAACGTTCCTTTCACCGCGTCCCTTTTTGTCGAGGCCGTAAGCAATAGCTGCGGCAGTCGGCTCGTTAATGATCCTCAGGACATTCAAGCCGGAGATAGTACCGGCGTCCTTGGTCGCCTGCCGCTGGGAATCGTTGAAGTACGCCGGTACCGTAATCACCGCGTTCGTGACGGACTTCCCCAAATAAGCTTCCGCCGTTTCCTTCATCTTCGTCAGGACCATCGACGAGATCTCCTCGGGAAAGAAGGACTTCGCCTCGTTCTGTAATCGATACCGGCCGAAAAGTTGAACTTTGCTTTTCGCTCGATAGATTGGTTCGAGCGCAAACAATGTGAAACTTTGTTCCTATCATTGTAAAAAGACTTTCTTGCATTTGGCGCGCAATTTCTTGAAGAATTTCTCGAATCGGCAAAAGTAAAAGATAGAGGGAAACACTAGTTGGTTTACAACCAATCGGAGAACGTAGAAAAGTACAGGGTTAAGGATCGGTTTGCGGTTTGACAAGACACTTGTCTACGAAAAGGGGATTATCGATCACACGAGATGTAGGCCATTGGTCATAAGGCAGCAACGTTGATATCGCCGAGAGAGATAGATAGAGAGATAGATAGATAGATAGAGAGAGAGATAGAGAGAGAGAGAGAGAGAGAGAGATCAAACGGAATCGTAATTAAATTCCTCGTCAAACCTCGTGGATATTCACGCGGTTGGACGTCAGGCCACGTTAAACGTTGGCCAGCTCACCTTGTATCGGACTCGGATTTTCGGTTTTCCTCCGTCGTTAACCACGGCGAACGGCCACTGTTTCATGTCAGCTTGCACTGATGGATCGTCATAACGTCTGCCAATCAGCCTCTTCGCGTCTGTCGGACGATTTCATTTACCTTGCCTGCCTTAGTCATCGATTCGAGCGATCGCTGGCAGCGGCGATCGTGCAGTTGGCGCATGATCGAGAAACGGAAAGGATCGCGAGAACGATCCCGTTATCGCGCGGCAACGAAACTTCTCGAGCGAATTTCTCGGCAGCGGTGGAATTCCGAGCTCGTCCGCACCGGCTATATATCGACTATAGATCTCGAAACGGTAAGTCGATTTGGCAGCCACGAAACGAGAGCGTTCTCGACGTTGAACTGGTTTCCGGCCGCGTTTCTTTCCGCGGGCAAGCTACTGCAGCCGGAAACCAGCTCCGAAACCCGGAAATGACGGTGATTCTTGGGATCCTAGCTACGTTGCCAACTCGGCGGACCTTGCCAGCGTGATTATCAAAAATTCAACTCGCGTTCAACGCTATACGTTTTTGATTTTGCCTTTTCTTTTTTAGAAAGAGAGAGAGAGAGAGAGAGAGAGAGAGAGAGAGATACTTTTCGTAGAGGAATCTAGATCGTTGTAATTTTGTTACAACAATCCAGAGTCTGAGAAATCCTCGAAGCTTTGACATTTGAGTACCCGTGAAGTCGCGAGGATCGTTAGAATGACAGAAACGAGAGATCGGGGATTAAATTCTCGCGCGATTGTTACGTAACAAGCCTACCAAAGATCGTGTTCGTGGGATTCATAGCTACTTGGTTCTTGGCCGCATCGCCGATTAACCTCTCCGCGTCGTTGAACGCCACGTAGCTCGGCGTAGTCCGATTTCCTTGGTCGTTGGCAATGATCTCGACCTTTCCACTGAGAAACACGCCAACGCACGAATAGGTGGTCCCCAGGTCAATCCCTACCGCCGGTGCTGTCATCGTGGATCCGATGGAATTTGAAAGAACGTGCCGAGATGAAAACAGTGGCGTGGGCAAAATAATCGTTGCTCGACTGTTCCGATCGTCCGATCTTTTCATTGTATTCTCGTCTCACGTTCAACGCCGCGTACGATCGAGCCGAGTTCCGAAATAATGTCCCCTGGTTGTAGGCGCATGAGTTACGCCAACAGCGCCGGCAAAGTGCCACGGGAAAAAACCGTGCCGTTCATCGAGGCTTGTAAAAGTGTACTCTAGACGCCATTTTCGTCTTGTATCTTTTATACAATGCAATATTAACGAAAACCTTCTTCGCCGGTGTCTCTTCTGTTTTACGACGGTGGCGTTCTTGTGCTTTCAAAATCGCCTGAAATATTCAGCGAAGATTGGCAATGTTGAAAAAGAATCGATTTATCGGTAATCTTCGTTACTTCGAATCACCTTTGTACCTCTCTCGCGCGATAACTCAGTTATCGAGCAATCTTTTCAACGAAGAGCAATCTTTTCAATTTTATATCGTACGTCGTCCGACGTGGTATCAAGTCAGGGATAGTATCTAGATTTGTCCAAACCTTCACTGGATTTTTTCTTCTTGTCCGGAGAATCGGACATCGACGCATCGAAACTTCAATTTGTGACGCAAGGAAACGTTTCATGTCTCTCGGATGTTCTCGGAAGACGTTAATCTCGACGGTGTTTGAATTGACGTCCAACTTCAACTTCGAAAGGGAGACTCGTCCGGCCCGATATGATCGCGCAATTATACGAGCGGGCAGAGATCGATCGCTTGGTTCGTAAATTTCGCGCGTTCGATCGCGACACGTCGATACCCATCCACGACGCGGGCAGACGATACCGTGATTCGTGACCAGAGTATCGAATCGACCCCCGTGTCTGTGCCGCGCACAAAGGGTCGCGCCATATGGGATACAGCCTATCCCATTTACGGTTCCGTAATAAACTTTCCGTCGCAAGTATCCACCGTGAATCGAAACGACGATCGCAATAGAATTTCGACGCAGTTACTCGACGAGTGTCTCGATGGTTCAGCTAGAGAAAGAGAGAGAGAGAGAAAGAGAGAATGTTTGCTTAAAATTAAAAAAGGCTTCGCGATTTCGCCAGATTTCGTTCGAAAGGGAAATATTGGTAAAGATAGAGGAAGAAAATTGATGGTGAGAATTAATTAACCGACGCGGGCTCTTATCGGGACTGAAACACGGGCATACGAGGAAGTTCCGCCCCAAGCTGGTCCAGCGTCGTCGAGGAGGAGCTTCCGCCAGAGCTCGGTAAATTTATCCCGAAGGGGAGTCCCAAACGCAGGATGTGACGCGTTAATTTGCTTATCCTTTCTCTGACGGGAGGACGATGTCATAATTAATGACCATTCCTCGCGACGTACCTAAGAAGGTTTACCAGATAATCCCGTATTACCTATAATCTTCAACGTAGAATAGCACAGCCAAAGAAATTTTGAGGCGATTCGGCAGAATTTCCTGATGGAAACCACTCTCTAAAACTGAGAAAAGAAAGACTATTTCTCTACGAGTCAGACGACGTCATTAGAATCAACCCCTCGAGTTACAATATCGAGTCACACTCGTGGTAGAAGTAACGATTTGAAAGAGAAGGCAAATTGTAGTTCCACGGAAATTTGAATTTGAATTATCAATTTTAATTCCTCCAAAAAACTCAAGATCGATAAATATAGATTAGAATGCCTTCCATGCTTCGAAATTCGAATTATCGTAATTTCGAATAATCGTAAAGCAACGGGGTTAAACGTACTACAGCCAAAAGTAGAAACATCGAAGCGAGTCTAATCGAACTTTTCCCCAGCCACGCGCAACAGCGAAAGCTTCAACCGAAGAAAATCGAGACTTGAAAGATGTAGCAGAAACGCGACGAAGGAAGAAGAGAACCGAGGAATCAAAGGGAGAGCACGACGGTTTGGAGAAAGACGGTGGATGGCGCGAAACGGGGGTGACGCGAATATCGAGATTGGATCGGGGCGGAGGTGTGCGTGAGCGTCATAAATACGTCGTCGGGCCGGTAAACAAGACAGTCGAAGTTGGTACAAGAGAGTACGTCCGTTCACGACGCCGTATACACACGCTGTGTGCTGTAGAATCGGCTCGGTGGCCGCGGTCGTGGAGATGGTCGGTACCGCGACTGGGATTTAAAGCCGGGAAATTTATCGTTTCGCGAGTGGGCGGACAGAAGCGACGAAAGGGATGAAGCCAGCGCTGCGAGGAGATGCAGAGGAGATGCAGAGGAGACTGGGGATTGAGAGAGAGAGAGAGAGAGAGAGAGAGAGATGCACACGAACGGATGCGGCGAGAACGCGGAGAGGGTGAAGGAGGAACCGAACGAAACGAGCCAGAGGATGGAGAGAAGACCTCGCGTACGGCGAAAACCTCTGGCAGACTACCGAAAACCAGTCGTCTCGAACCGTGCCTTCCCTCCCACGATCTGGCCACGATTCAACGACCGTTCCGTCGGCTCTTTTCACCTTGGCTACCGCGTTCTCGCTAGCCTCGAATACGTCGCTTCCCGATAGAAACCGCGATTTTCACCCCCCGGTTACGATTCCCGAGTGAAACCGCCGATCACCCGCGTGCTCTTCGCCTTTGGCCTTTCTCACTTTTAGTACAACGAGTATCTCGTGCTCGTTACACTATACGTGTGACGTGTACGATTTTAAAAGAGGCAGATAGGAAGGTAGGTAATGGAAGAAAGAGTGCAGTCAGACGCCGAGTCGATTTATAGAAAAACGATTCTGCCTCCAGTATCCATCCACGAGGCAAGGTGTGCGAGAGAACCACCTCGATATACATCGTGGAGCCGAGTATATCAAAGTGACGGCCGTTCTACTTTATTTCAATTCGTGATACACTTCCGCGGGCTAAACCGCAATAACTCGGCAAGGAGCGAAACTGGTATAGCACGTGGCCGCCGGCCGAAGGCAGCGTTCGTCGTAAAGCGACTCCGCGAGGAGGGCCGGTAATCTACCGCGACAAGCGGCGTCGGTTGTCATATTTCTCGCCGGATAATACATGCCGTAAATAACGAAGTTGATATTGAATGAGAGGAAAGTGGGAAACCGGTTACAATATTTTCAGTGCATCGGCTCGAGTCGATCGGCGTTGGCTAGAAGAGAGGCAGCGCGACGGGCGAGCAAGCGGATCGGGGGCTGGAGGGCAGCGACGGGCTGCAACATTTCGAATATAAGTTAGCCGGATATTGTTCGGCGCGGGGCGAATAGTAAGGGGCTTAGCAACTCCGAAGCAGCGGCCAATATGGCGGTTACACGAGGATGAAACGATATAAATCCCGAAACGCTTACAGTTATTGCAGATCCAGCGTAATATCCACTCGAGCGGCGGATGGTGGCCGGTTTACGCGATAATTCGCCGATGACAGCGTCGCGATAAAATGAAATCGGTACGCGGCTTTTATAACGACCGCGACGCGCTAATCCCTTGGCCGGCGAGGTTGACGCGCGCCACGTTCGAAGTAACGAAGCGATGCGTGAACAAGGTGCACGCCGTTTGTTTTCATAAAGCAAGGAAATGTATGCGGTAGATACGTTAACCTCTTGCGCTGGAATGACGTGCCACGCACGTCGAGAATTTTTGTTTTAAAAACTGTAACATTTTTCTCAGTTTTAAGTATATTTAAGTAAAACAAAGCAGGCAGAACGAATAATAAATTTACTACTTCTCAATAATTTCTATCCAGCGATATCGTTCAAAAAGAAAACGACGAATTATTGTATACGGTTTGGTCACTCGTTATGGCCCGCAATCAGTTGCCAGCGCAAGTGGTTGATGGATGTAGAAATAAAGTTGAGATTACCGAAAGGAAAGGAGAGGTTAATTAAGTTTCCCTTCCTTGGTTATAAATTGCCTGACCAATTTTCACTTCGCTTCACTTCCTGAATAATTTACGAAAAAAACGAGAGAAAGCTCATCTCAAAGATTGCTACGTCGTAAAGATTCCACGATGCAAGACACGAAGCGCACGATCGAAATGAGTTGAAAACATCCTCGGTCTCATTGTCAGCCTCGGTCTTGATCGTGTTTCTGTCCCGATCCAGAGCCAGCCGTTATTTTCTCATCTCGGCGTCGGTAAGTCATAAATAATATGCGACGATCAAATTTTCAGGCCACGATTTTCGAGGACGTCCGACTTGTAAAAATCCACCGGCTTGACGTTTCGATCTTCGGGCGAGATCGTATCGGGTGTCGCGCTCGTACGGAAGAAGACGCGCGCGTTCTGACAAATCTCATATGGTATTCATGAAAGCTGCGTATTCATCAGCGAGATGATCGTCGGATTCTGGATAAAAATCCGACACGACCAGCGCGCGCGTTACTTCCACTTCCGCTTGCTCTTATCTCGCTCCATCCTCTGTCGTCAAGCCCGAAAGAGAGGTTGCCCTTGTCTGCCGGAATATCCGAGCTCGCGAGAAAGAACGTTTCTGTCAGGAGTGGTGTGGCGTGCAGGAGTACGTGGGTGTACGCGGGTCGGCGTGTGCGTTATTTGAGTTATTTCACACATGGCGGCCGATCGATAGGCATCGCATTGCATTCGAGGGACTCTGTCGTTTCTGCGCTTCTCTCTCTCTCTCGTTTCTGCCCAGGTACTTCCCCCTTCGTGCAAGAGACTCGCGCGATAGATAGCGTGTCTTTCTGACTGGATACCAGCGCCCCGTTTATCGTACCGCGTGTCATTGGACCTAAGAGACACGAGTTGGAATTACGTCGCCTTTTCGTCCGGCGCGGCGAAGAAAACCAAAGAAAAGGAGAAAGGGATCGGGACGTTTAACGACAATGGTTCCCCGACTCGATTTTGCTTGCTGACAAAGAACGCCGTGAGTAAGCATTTTCGGAGAGTCGAGGAACGACGTTGAGTTCTGCGATCCCGAAATTGATGATGCCTATTTAATTTCGCAACTAACCACGTCCCGTCGTCCCTGAAACGTTGTTCGTAATATTAGGAGAGAAGCTGGCGAATCG